GCCCCAGCTTCATCTGGAAGGTAGTCTAGTCTAATTAGCATATTATGCTTTTATTATTATTATAGAAACTTAGTCACTGTGGCCTTGTTTACATTTATCTGCATAAGTTTTAAAAATAAATTGCAGAGCTTGAATATAACTTTATTGTTTATAGAAATGATCATATAAATTTATATGATTAAAAAATATAGTTTTTATTACACATTTACAATTCTGAATAGAAATTCACCAAAAGTATCCTTATCCTATCTAATAATAGACAAACATGTAATTAACCATACCTCCGACACACTTCCCATTGGCTAATCAGGGCGATATGCAAATTAACTGCCAACCAAGATGGCAGCCAGCAGTCAGGCAGCTGAAGTGAACAGGAGGCTTGCTTGCTCCAGTGATGGAGGAAGCCAAGGTTCCCTGCCTGCTGCTGCCCAGCTCTCACCCTAAACAGGGTGTGGCCAGCCTGAAAACAGCCATTAGCCCCTCATCCAGGCTGGCCAGGCACCCAAGTGGGGATCCCCACCCTGAAGGGGGTGTAACCAGATGCAAACACCCATCAGCCCCTCACTCAGGCTGGCCAGGCACCCCAGCGGGACTCCCACCCTGATCCAGGACATCCTTCAGGTCAAACCCCTGGCCCCCACCGTGCGACAGGCCTCTATCCTATATAATGAAAGGATAATATGAAAACTAACCCTAACAGCAGAATGACTGTGAATGACTGGTCACTATGACACACAATGACCACCAGGGCGCAGATGCTCAATGCAGGAGCTGCTCCTGGTGGTCTGTGTGCTCCCTCAGGGGGAACTCTGCTCAGCCACAAGCCAGGATGACAGCTGCCAGTACAGTGGTGGTGGGAACCTCTTCTCCCTTCTCAGCAGCGCTAAGGATGTCCAACTGCAGCTTAGGCCTGCTCCCCGCTGGCAAGAGGACATCCCCTGAGGGCTGCCGGGCTGCCAGAGAGATGTCTGATTGCCATCTTAGGCCCAATTCCCTGGGGAGCAGGCCTAAGCCAGCAGGTGGTCATCCCCTGAGGGGTCCCAGACTGTGAGAGGGCACAGGCTGGGCTGAGGGACCTTCCTCCTCCCCCGTGAGTGCACAAATTTTTGTGCATCAGGCCTCCAGTAAATTTTATAAAACATTAAGATCCCATAACAGTGAATTAAGAAAATTTAGACACAAATTATATGTCTCTTTTTAGCCAAAAGTCGATCAAATCAAATGAGAATAAGGCTAAAATGGTTGATTAGATCATATGTGGAATTTCACATTCAGTGTTGGATGTTACTTTTAAAATTGTATCTATAAGCTAAAATGCATTAGAAGACAGTGGTAAGGAAAATGAGATGACTCCAAAGAAAATTAATTTATGTGTTAAATTATTTTGAAATAGCTTATTTAGATGTATGTAAGAGGTGGAAATAGAATAAAGTGTCAAGAACAAGAGGAAAATTAAAACATGTAATGATTACATAGTAATGGAGGTTTTAATGACTGTGTAGGGTGCTGTGGATACATGGTCTTTAAGTTCTAGAGTTTCCTGGCATCCACTTAGAAAATATGGTATCAATCTGACTCACATTGTCCCAATAGAAAAAAAAAAGCATGCATATTACTCAGCCTTCTCCTGGCACTAAGCCTAAGAGAAATGACTCACATGGCTCTTTATATTGGGAACACTGAGTAATGTAGAAAACAACGTCCTCAACAACATCTCCCCAATAAGTAAAATAACAGATTCCATATGTCGCTCATGGTGCCCCACAGAGTAATCCCAGGGCAAAATGCTGTGAAAAGCATCCCTCCAAGGAGCCAGCCATGGTATAGAAATGCAGAATTTTCTGCACCTTAAATTGATTAAGAGACAAAACCCAATGATCAAATATGACTTGAAACCAAGTCACGTGGAAAGCATATGATGGTGGGGATAGTGGGGCAGCTGAGGAACTGGACGAGGCTGTACAGGTGGTCTGGATTTAATTCCATCTATGCCACTTCCTGACAGTGTAACTCGAGCAAAATCATGGAACCTCTCTGTGCTTGTTGGCTTCTTTTTGAAATAGGGATGCTGATGGTGATATTTCTACCTCATACAACTGCTGCTGGGATTGCATGAGTAAATACAAGTAAAGTCCTGTGCAAACGGTTTGGCATCTGACAAATGCAAAATAAATGTTAACTATTGCTTTATCTTTAGATTTGAGAAGGGCTACCCACAAGAGGGTAAGGTTTGTTCTGTTTGACACTAAGAAGTGGGATGAGAATAAATACACTCAGTCCTCATTATGCAAGGACTTGGCGATTGCAAAGTCACCTACTCGCTAACATTTCTGTGTAACCCCAAAATTTATACTAGGGGTGTGCCTTTGCATTCATTTGCAGATGTGTACAGAGCAGTGAAAGTCTGAATTACCTAATGTGTGTGTTGCCACTTGAGGTTGAACAGGGCAAGCTCAGCTCTTATACCGTAAACAAGTGTCCCCCCTCCTCCACCATTCCTTTCTTTGGGTTGTTTTGCTGTTTAAAATTACCCCCAAGCATAGTTTGGAAGTGTAGGGGGTTCCTATTGCCAGAAGCTGGAATGTGTCTTTAGAAAGAAAAACTTTAGAAAGAGGGAAAAGGAACAAGGGAGGTGACAAGACTCTGGTGTCTGTGCTGCTTTAAGAGTTAGTGCGTCCTTAGTCGTTATGTTGAAACATACATTGAGTGACCATTTGTCCCCAATTATGTAAAGAGAAAGCAAACGAAATTCATGTTTCAGGCATAAATCTAATAGCTCTGAGAAAAATGACAACACAGAAAACGAGTCTCTTTTTTTCATAGTAAAAAATATCTGGGAATTATAAAGTATTAAGAATTCTATTTGTTTTCTTTAAAAAGTTCTATTTCGGAGAAAATGACTGCTATTTGTTGCTGTTGTTTTTATCATGTTTCTGGTGTTCATGCTTACATTATTTTTTCAAATATTTGCATTTATAACTGGGCAGGGCAAGTTTTGTTGCCTGGTTTTAGCTATCACAGCATCCAAGCACCTGTATCCTGGCACATCTGTTCAAGAGTAGAACACTGGCTTGGAAAAAATGCAAATGCTTATCTCTACAAGGAATGCCAAATTGGGATCTTGTTATTAAATCTTTGAAGAAATAAATATATAAATAAATGTCATAATTTAACATCTTGATAACGGGATTTCACACTTCTTATGGCAAGAAAAGCTGTAATATGAGTCCACAAAAGCAAAACCAGGAAAAATATAAAGGGAAAACTTCAAAAGGATTTGAAAAATGAGGACATACAAGCCCCAGCACACAGACAGTCCACTGCCTTGTGCTATCTCACAAAGTAATTCTTAGTAAAAACTTTAAACTTTAATCCTTTTTTAAAAAATAAATGTTTTATTGATTTCAGAGAGAGGAAGAGAGAGGGAGAGAGAGATAGAAACTTCAGTGTGGGCATGGAGCCAGCAACCCAGGCATGTGCCTTGACAAGGAATCAAACCGTGACCTTCTAGCTAGTTCATAGGTCGAAGCTCAAGCACTGAGCCACACCAGCTGGGCTATCAATCTTTTTTTCCCCATCAGTTATCACTTTTCTATTTTGTTTGCAAAGCCTATTCTAGCCCAGGGCCATGAAAAGATCTTCCTATAAATTCTTACAATTTTTTTTTCCTACTTTTGCTTTTCACATATGAGTTTTTGATCCACCTGGAATGGATTATTGTATACTACAATGTAAGGCTCTATTCTAATACTTTCTGTTAGCGATGATAATATCCCACTGGAAATAGAAGGGCTTTAATAAACTTTAATGGAACTGAAAAGAATAAATGCCGTGTCCTAAAAGGGTTAACAGTGGCAGTCAAGCAATCAAAATAAGTAAGATTTGGATACATTACAACAGTCATAGAGAGATTAAAAATAAGGACCCTGAGTGCTAAACCATGTGAAATGCATGGAAAAAATGAGAATCTGTACGTGCAAAGGCTCAGATGGACTTCTGTTTGAGGGACATGCAGTGTGCTTTTGCAACCTTGTATTCTGATTGCTGATGTTTTCATCCCTGGCCTTCAAAATTCTAAGGCTTTTGGCTTTTGCTAGAGGGTATCTTAAAAGTGGTAAATGCCTTGTACACAACAGCTGCTTAAAAAATGTTTATTTAATTGAACTGAATTTCACACTATAAAATTACAAAATGAGGAATATGTGTTACGGATCCATAAATGATTGGAATGAAGGAAGGAAGTAAAGGAGGGAAGAAGTGGAAAGAAGAGAATACGAGACATTCATTTTCTAAGTCCTATGTCACAATATTATTATTTTTTTTATTTTTCTTAAAGTTTTGAGGAAGACTCCTTTTTGTGGAGAAATCACATGACGAGAATTACTTGCACTCTCTAACTGGAATACATCTATAGAATGAGGGGTGAGTCTGCAGCAGGGGGAGGGGGCTCTAGACACAGAGAGGCAAGGGCACATCTCAGACATTGTAGGGTACACTTAAAAAAGGGGGAATGTCAAGTGGGGGGAAGAAGGAGACATATGTAATACTCTTTGTAATACTTTAAGCAATAAAACAACAACAACAACAAACCCACAAGAAAGCTGTCTTACGTATGTCCTGATTATTTTGTTGCTCCGTCCTTCCCATGCTCCCATGGGTGGTGAGACACCATTCCCTGATGCTTGTCTACCATTACCCATAATGAATTTTTAATGGCTTTTTTTTCTACGTTCAGGAAATGGAAATGGCCTGACAGTGATTGTTCCATGACTACTAATGATTTCCTTTCCTCTTGGTACTGAAAAAAGTTATGTGGAAAGGAATCTCACCGAAGCAATCATGTCATAAAATGATACTCGTTTGAACGCTTACCCTTACTAAGACGTAAGTACCATTTAAGTGCACTAAGGTTAATGATGTGAAAGACCTAAAAGTAATCATAATCTTTAGCAGTATGACCCAATCCTGGCATCACAAATACCTTACATAATTAGATGTGGCTCTTCCCAAGCTCTCTTAAATATTTTTAGTCATTTGTTTTCACTGATGTGTAAATAAAAAGATTTTCTTCCTGGTTATTCCATGTATGAATGCAAGCTTAAAAACTTACTTAGAAACTTAGAGCCCAAGGAGAGTAAATATCATACTTTCCTAATGTTTCTAATTGGAGTAGATGAGTGATATTGAAAAAAAAAAAACACACCACACGCACCAAACACCTGTTGAGATTGAGGAAGCCTATTGTTCCTGTTGGTTAAATGAAACAAAGCTTTATTCTGTAAGGTTTTCTGCAAGTCATACACACAGTACTGCTTTGTATATAGAAGTGAAAAAACATCCCATGAAGACCCACTCCTTAAAGATATCTGAGGGTATTGCAGAATGAGTGAAAATTTTAGTTAAATGCCCATGAATACTGGTCACGGTTTAAAATTAGAAACCTTTTGGGAAATTCTGTATGTTTATCTCAAAATATAGATGAGATTGAAATGAAAGGCAATACATCCCAATGCAATCGTACACGGAATAATTAGGTATTTGTTAGCTGTGGCATGCACTTACACTGACAGTTGAATTTTGGGATAAAAATCAAACAGAATGGAGAACATTAACATGCTGACCTTCAGGTAAAGGGGAGATGACTGAAATATGATCAGTTATTCTTTATTTCCACTAAGATGAGGACAAGGAAGAATGCTAAGTCCCAGTAAAAAGGGATGTAGGTAAAATAGAATGGGAAGCATCTGAGTAAACTAAATTTAACTGTTTCCTCCACTGGGATTATAAAGCCAGCACATATTTGCATCAGTAGAAAGTTGAACTGTTTGGGCAACTCAAATGAAATGATGGTAAAGATGTGTAGTCTGGAGCTCTTGTCAAAGTAGAATAGATATGACACTAGGCCCATTATGAAACATGAACAAAGATTGTAATAAAATGAGAATAGCTGGGAATAAGGCTGGGGCTTACTTGTTTGGGATATTATTTAAATACATTGATTCCGGAATGTTATAACTCTGCATACAAGTCTATTTGTGAGGTTCATTGTGGGGTGATCATTGTGAAGTCCAAGAAGCAGAAACGAGTTGCAACCAGAGAAAGCAAAGAGTAATAATGAGTGTGTTAGGTATAAAAGTAATGAAATTACTTTAAAATCTTGTCAAAGTATCATTGACAGGAAAATAAAATCACATAGGGAAGCAGATAATCTGTTTTTAAGTATGAACCTTAATTGTAAAAAATAGTCTTATGTAAAATGAAATGGGGAAAGTATGTAATATACATTATATATGTGGGTATTTGTGTGTGTGCTTATTATACATGTGTTTATATACTATATGTATATACATATATACACACACAAGCACATATACATATTATCTGTGAACTGCCACTGCTGAGCACAGTGCTAGACACAGGATAAATGCCACAAATGCATTCTCACAGACATATCTCTATATACAAAAACTTAAGCGACCATTACCGGAATGACCAAAATGACTGAAACGACCAGTTGACCAGTTGCTATGATGTGCACTGACCACCAGGGGGCAGACACTCAATGCAGGAGCTGCCCCCTGGTGGTCAGTATGCTACCACAGCCAACCTCCCACAGTTGGCCAATCTCCTTCTCCCCTCCCCCTGGCTGGCCACCCTCTCCCTCTCCCGGTAGGTCTTGATCACAGGCCAGGCTGAGGGACCCCACCCATGCACGAATTCATGCACCAGGCCTCTAGTATGACATATTTAGGATTAATTGAAACTCTCCCCTACACCCTAACAAACATGCATTCCTCCAAGAGGAAAAACATTGTCTAAACTGTGCTCATGGCTAAGCCACTCTTTGCTTTAAATATAGGAAAAGAAAAAAGAAGAAGCTGTGGAGGGAAAAAAAGAAAGTTGGGTAGGAGGTACCTGTGAAGAAAGAACGTTAGGTAGAAGGAGAGCCTGGAGAATGAGAATAAGAGGCATGTCATCTGCTTTAAGGGACAAATTTGTAAGCAAACAAGATGTACTCTAGAAAGGTTTTTTCAGAAGTTTTGATGTGATGTGTGATAATGCTGTCTCCACCCCCATATTCCCAAGACTCATTCAGAGAAGTTTACGTTATCCCTAATGCTTCCAATGTTGAGCTATGATTTTTCCCCTCAGATAGAACCAGGGGCTGATTTTGCTATGCCCTCTCTGCTTTCTCTTCCACTCACAGTGTGTCTTTCATCCTCAGTTGCCTCCTTGAGACGATGCATGATTTCAGTGTCCTTAAGGTATAGGGAACCAACCAAATTTTATATATTTCTGTTTCTCCTGAAGATACAATATGGATCTCACACTGATTGAAATGTCTAAGTATAAAGAGAAAGATATATGTCACTATAAACATATAGAGTGAACTGTTCCAAACAGAATTTAATGTTTAACAAAGAATTTAATTGTTCATTAAATTCTATACCAAATATTTTATGTAATTCTGGAAAACAAAAGCCTAAATCTTTGTGGTTTTATACTTATTTGATGCCATTAACACTGCAAATAAAATGGTTCCAATTTCATCTAGATTTTACAAGGTTTTGGAAACATTTATCTCAAACTCTATAAAATAGTATGCTTGAATATAAATTTATGTAAGAAGCATGATTTGGTCATGAATACAATGGCAAAATAAAGAAATTAATGTTTTTAATACTCATAAATTTTAAAAAATTATATATTATGTATATAAAATTTTCCAACTACTGGATGATACTGATTTCATAAAAACAAGTGTTTATAGATTAAAAAAAAATTGGAGCTAGCAAAGTGACTCATAGTCTAGGAAATTAATAATTTTAATTAGCATTTTGATTGATTCGAACTGGTTTAATCACTGCTAACAGAAAGTTTTACTTATATTCCACTGTATAAATTCTACAATTAATTTATCTGTAACATATAAGTAGCTTAACAATATGCTAATTGTAATATTACTTGATTTAGAAAAACAATAACTTGTTGGGATTATTTTAGACTGTAGAATTGAGAACTTGAAGTGAATTTTGCTTGGAAGGTAAACTTAATTGAGTTTACAAGGCAGTGGTAATTCTGCTAGGGCTTCATAGCTTCATAGATGAGTAGGATTTTCATAAGGTAATTGCTGGTCACTGGGTAGCTAAGCAGAGCCCATTAAGGTGACTGTTCTAAATGATCACTATTTTTAAGAGCCTAAATGACAAAGAGGTGCTGACAGCTGAAATAGATAAAATCAACAAAGATATAAGAGAGACTAAAACTCAGTTGTTATCACTATTCATTGAGAAGCTATTTTCTTGAATTTCACATTCATTCGTTAATTTATATTAGCATTTGTTATGCCCCCAGATTATGTTTGATGGTGAGATTAAAACCATATGTTCTTGAACGACACACGTAAGGAAGGTGGTTGCTAACGCAAAACAATGCATACCTATAGAAAATTGCAATGTTTGCTGCTCCCGGTCTTCTCTCACCCTTAGAGGAGTGTACAGTTGAACTTCCGACTTGTGAAAAGGTTACAGCCATAACTTGAAGTTGACCTGTTTCTTAGCATTTTACCCATTTTCTGGTAAACTTCATGCATCAGAATGCTTACAGCTGCAAAGAAGACTACCCCACTAACAGCAGCACAGATATCCTCTTCATATAACAAAGCATTTGATGCAAGGCATTTTTAGCTTGCCCCTTGTGGGTGAAGATGGATGCCATAGTCAAAAGCATTGTACAGAGTGGAGACTGTTCTCCTTCCCCGTGTATTTTGTTTGTTTGTTTTCTATTGGAAGGGGAAAAAAACACCAAGCAAAACCCAGGATCCTCTCAGGCTCTGTTTGTCTGCCCATGCCCTAGCTACAGGTTGCTACCGGGAAAGCAAGTCACTGATATTTTCAACCATTACAGTGGGAGACAGGCTTTGCTAGGAAAAAAGAAGTAGGCATGGATAATGATGCATGGTTGGCGCATGACCCATACTTCCACTAGTTATGTACAACTGTGCCTGTTTCCGGAGAGCCTCACCAAGACTGAATTGTCAAAATTTAGCTTTTCCATGTCTGATAAATGAACAAAGGTACCATAGTGTGATTTTAATTTGATGTTCTCTCCTAGTAAAAGATTGAATAAACGTATTACTTCTTTGCTCCTGGAAAAATGGAACAACTCTCTAATTAGCTCTCATTTATTGTGTGTGAGTGCTACTGTATTATATCTTTTTTAATTAAAACAATTTTATTTGAGCCCTGGCCAGTGTGGCTCAATTGGTTGGGCATCACCCCATGCACTGAAAGGTTTCTGCTTCAATTCCCTGTCAGGGCACATGCCTGGGTGGCAGACTCCATCCCTGGTAGGGGGTGTGCAGGAGGCAGATGATCAATGTTTTGTTCTCACATTGATGTTTCTTTCTGTAACTCTCCCTCTCCCTTCCTCTCTCTCTAAAAATTAATAAAATTTTTAGCCTAGTAGGTGATACTTTAATGTGGTTGTAAATTCAAATGTATAAAAAAGTATGCAGTAGTTTTTTTTTCACATAAGAGATCTTCCTATGTAACATTTGCATATTGTCCTACAAAGTTTTATATATAACGCATATATAAAATATTTTAAAATTATTCGATTTAGCTTAATCTATTTAATTGGTACTTTGCTGATGGATATTGAATTGTTTCCAATCATTCACTGATATAGACATTGATATATTATAAAAATATAAACATTACTTCACACGCACATGCAAATAAATCTATAGGATAAAATACTGAGTCAAAAATATGCATTTGTAATTTTGACAGGTATTACCTACTTGTCCACAGGGTTCATTAAAACCTACACTTCCACCAATAATATATGAGTGGATATTTCTCTACAAAACTATTTTGGTTGACATTACTCTTTCAATTTACTTAGTTGCCACCAGTTCAATTTTTTTTGAATGGGTCAATTTATTAACATTCTTTGTCACGCTTTAGCTTTTCCTAAAGGTAAATATTGAAGAGACAATTGCCTACAGGTAATGTAATAAATGCAACACTGTCAATAAACAAGTTATTATTGTGCTTAATTTTCATTGAATGCATTTTTATGCACCAGGTCCTATAAGTACTTATATTTCTTAATTCTTACAGAAATAGGGGATTGTGATTAGTCTTCCTATTTTGTAGCTGAAGAAATTAGAGACAGGAAATATTTCATGTTTCAAAAATGCACTGCAAGCAACTGGGAGTACTGGGACTTGAACTCATGTAGCCTGTTTCCAGACCCCATGCTCTTAACCACCACAAACTCTTGTACTAATTCAACAATAACTTCCTTTATTCCTGATGACTTTTCAGCAAGCATTTTTCATCCTAAGACAGGCTCAGCTGTGCTTCCTTCCTTTGGGTTTCAGGATATACCCTTGTGAGCTTACAGTTAATCCTCCTGAAATCTGCTTGAGCGGTTTCAGTTCCTTTCTCTCAAACATGCTCTGATGAAGATGGCAAGAAAAACTGTGTACAAAAGTCTGCTTGTCTCATTTGTCCTGCCCTCTTTAAACCTTAGTGCAATGAACAGGTCCTTATACTGTGTGGAGAGGCTTCCTTTGGGGAGAATTATCTTTTATTCTGAACTGGGGGTAATGGGCACCTCATCCATTTCCAGAAACCAGCATTGAGTCAACTCAGAGTGACAACCTCTGGGAGACAATATAAATAAACTGGGATTTCTTTATTCAAAACTTCATGTTGTTTCATTGCTGAGGATTGTGAGACCCATAGAGTCTTTAACCGACACCCAAACACTGCCCTTATTGTTTAGAATAGAGGCTTTGTGCGTGGGTCTAAATTGGATATGTCACTCCTTCCCGGTGAGAGATCAGAATCTGGGTAAAGTTTCAAGCCTTAGAGATCAGTTAGGTTTCGGCCCTGGTACCAAGTTTGTTTGATGTGCTTGAAGAAAGAACTGTAATTGTTCGCCTCTGCTTTTCTGAAAAAGAAGACGAAGTTGATGGATGTGAGTTGACTCTGGGTTTCTAAAAGACAGACCTGGGGGAACCCAATACATTTAAGATTGTGACTATGGACTCATTATGTGTAGAACAACTAGTCCTGGGCAGAGGGTCCTATTTAGATAAATGTGGCAGGAGAGGCAGGAGCCTGGTTTGATAGGGTTTGACAATGTCAGAATGCAAATATGTTTTCTCAGTTTCATTGGTGGGGAGATGAATGTATGGCTCTAGTAAAAACACATGCCATATGAGACCTGTAAAAACTGAAGGACTGAACTTTGAAGTAAGGCATACAACGCCAAGCAGAGAAGTTCTAAGAAAGAATGAATGCAGTGGCTATAAAAGCATGCCGACAGAAGGCACTGCGACATCCCAATCCAGAATGAACTTGTGAATATGATTACTGATGAGAGAAAAAGCAGAGTCAAAGTGAACAATCCTGGAAACCTGCACCAATAACCCAGAAAAGAAACCAAACAAGCAAACTACTGACTGGGAAGCACAGCGAAATGTATAAAGCTGGACACATTAATATTTGAGCTTCACTTCACGGAGCTTGCCTGGGACATGGTTCCTGCCATTTCAAATTTCTTCATATTTTCTGTCTCTCATCTCAGTTTGGAGAACCTTGAGTGACTTGAGACAAAAAATACAATTGACTCTTGGTTTCCTTCCAAGATTCAGTAGCTCCACTAGGTGCCTCTTGAGAACAGTCCCCTGTAATTACCATTCCAGGGAATGTGTGCTAGTAGCACAATGCAATAGCCAGAACTCTGTAACTCTCTGTGCACTGAATTGATTTCATTAGCAGCACCAGTTACTTAGAATATCCCTACACACCAGCTTGATAAGCCACCATCTTGTCATTGTTTAAAAATAAATATCACATAAGATTTAATTTCCCTCTCAGATGTGTCAGAAAGCACTCCCAGTTCCCCCAGGCGTATGCCTCTCTTTCTTAACGGTTTGACTTGGCAATGTCTATGGTCTTTTTTCAGCCGCCTATGCGCTCTTACAAAGTGCAATGAACTTTGTAAAATATCTGGCGCACATTTTATTACCTACTAATTTTCCCT